GAGAGAGAGTAATGGATCACTCGAGGAACCAACACCATCATCACCAACAACAACATCTGGGAGTCAACAAGCTGGGTAAGAACATCCGCAAGAGCCCTCTCCACCAGCCAACCTACTATTCCAACCCAAAGCCACAGCATCCTCCTCCTCCTCTTCCTCAGCAGCAGCAGCAGCAGCCACCGCCGCCGCAGCCGCAGGTGTACAATATCAGCAAGAACGACTTCCGCAGCATCGTCCAGCAGCTCACCGGCACCCCCTCCCGCGACAACAGCCCCGCCCCTCCCCCTCCCCGGCCGCGCCCGCCGCAGCCGAGGCCCTCCAGCACCCGCCTCCAGAAGATCCGTCCCCCGCCGCTCGCCCCCATCGCCCGGCCGCCTCCCCCTCCACTCGCCGCCTCCCGCCCTCCTCCCCGCTACCCTCCCCCCATCCCGTACCAAAACCCTAACCCTAACCTGCCCCCCGCCGCGGTTGACCCTTCTTCCTTCCCGCGCCGCTTGCCCTCCGCCGCTGCCGCCGGCCCTGCGTGGGCTGACTCGCCCGTCTCCGCCTACATGCGCTATCTTGAGAGCTCTCTCATCAACTCCGACACGTCCCGCCAACCTCATCCCCAGCCACAGCAGCACCTGCCGCCCCTTCCGTCCCCGGGACTGCTTCCCTCTCCGCGCCCCCCGATCCCCTTGCCGTCCCCGAGGGCAGTCGCGAATTCGAGCTTTATGCCTCCTCCTCCTTCCCCGTCAGCATCGGCCCTGCCTTCTCCCAGCACGTTCTTGAACATCCTCTCGCCGAGATCTCCTTATCCGCTGCTTTCACCCGGGTTCCAGTACCCCCCGCCGCTGACCCCCAACTTTGCTCTCTCACCATTGTCTCAATCTGGGATCCTGGGGGCTGGACCAGTTCCTGGTCCGCATCCACCACCCTCTCCCGGGCTCTGGTTCCCTCAATCGCCCTCTGGATTTTTACCCATTCTGAGCCCCAGATGGAGGGATATGTTGTAGCTCCCAAGTGTGACCGGTGTTCCTCCACCACCTTTTCTTACAAGGTAGCAAAGACTTTCTCCTGTATCAAAAGTGTTGCAAAGTGTAGCAATTTTAATATCTATGTATTGGTCTGACCAAAGTCACCACGCAAGTGTTCAAGAAGACGATGCAACTTTGGTTCTGGAAATTACCTTAAAGCTGTATGCAGTACAGAGTACTGGGAGTTCAAGATGATGGAAGTGTAACGAGAAATGAGGCAGGTGAAGTCTAGTCTATTTTAATTTCTTTTTAGTTAGTTGTTCCCTGCTAAATGTTTGTATTTAATTCTAATTCTGAATCTATTGATTTCATTTGCATTGCTAAATGCTAGTGTTTGAGTTTATGATTCTCGGCGTTGCATTGATTATTGAGTACGGACTCAGCTTTTCTTTTCTGCATTACTGGTATTGATGCTAAGAGAAAATAATAAACACTTGCTTATCTTGTGCTTTTTGTTCTTCAATGACATGGCCAAGAAAAGGAATCTGTGTCATGCTGATCTGTTGCAATATCTTGACATGAAACATACTGTTTACTTTTCGGTATGCATGATATTGTTTTTCTTGAGTGCCTTGTTTGATGCAAAATATTATTGTGTAACCAGAGACAATGTCTTACATTGGTTTCTACTGCACCTACAGTAGAATAAATACTAAATTTTTCTTTGCATTCGAGGTAACATTCTTATTGTAGCTTATAGTTTTTATGTGCAATATATCATCTATGACTGATTGTCCGAATTGCAATTGCCTAACTTCTAATGATTTGAGGATGAAAAGTGCTGTTTCCATCTAAATTTCATCTAGAAATTTATCTGATATCTTGCCTTCTAAAAGATTATGCATTGCATTTAAGTTGATTTCATTCACCTACGGCATTACAACAATTTGTCCTTTTAACTTACGATCAATTAAGATTCAGCCTGGTTTATTGGCTAACTTGCATGCCAAGTGACCACAATATTTAGTCAACTTCAAACCATCACTTTTGACCTGGAAGTAGTTTATTGACATGTCTTTAATATTCCTAATAGAATTAGATGACTAGACTTTTGTTTGCAATAATATTGACAAAAGCCTGAGACATGCAATAAATGAGAAAGTTTGGATTTCTCGCCCACATGTTTTATGATCTTCAGTAACAGTTGAGTCCGAAGGAAAACAATCATTTATCTCTCTTGCTTAATGCCTGACCTAGACCTCTCCTTCACTTGCGGAACCGCGGCAGCTGATTACGATGCAAACATATGGCTGCATGACCGTTATTGTTGAAGAATATAAGACAATGGGCCTTGGTATCATGGTAAGATTGTTGCTTCGCGGTCAAGGTGCCAAAGTTTGAGTCGTGGTAACAACCTCTCTGCTTGCAAGAGTAAGGTTGCATACATTGGCCCATGTCAAGATTGCACTCTTAGAATTTATGTCATCCAAGTTAATTTATTACTCTCGTTTTCTGTATTGTCTTTTAACGATCCTCCTTCAAGGATTGATTTTAAGCTATGTGTGTGACGAGGATGTGGAGCTTTTGAGTGGAGTGATTGTGATACATCAGCTAGTTTGATTTTTTGAGTAGGTCTTGAGGTAGGTTGCATGCAAGAGTTTGAAGAAGGGAGCCTGTAATATCATAATTAAGTTCCAAAGTGAAGGTAGATGTTGGATCAGGTTCTTGTATAAGATTTTGATGGGACTACCAATAACTGGTTACTATCATGATATGTGGTTAGATGTTTAAACTACTTATGTTATTGTGTTATCATTTAACTTGTAGAAATTGGTATTGAAGTATCTCTATGGGCCTTTATGTTGTCTAATATGTGCCATAATGGATTTGGATTATATATGTTGGATTTTTAACAAAATAAACAATCCTGTAGCCAGGGAGATTATGATGTCCCAGTAGTAACATGTTTAGAATCATGAATAAGTTGCATCGGATATAATTGCCTGACAAAATTAGTTATATTGGGTGCATTCTGAGCTAGACAGCTAAAGCCATGTACTAGTTAACTTATTTGGCAAGTAGGTCTATCTAGTTAATGTATTTCACACCAAAGGTATTTATTTAACCTTTGGTGTGAAATAGTTAGTCAGCATCAGTTAAAACTATATTATCACTATGATTACCACTAGTGTTTTTCTTCCATGTGTCGTTTACAAAAAGATCTTCACCTTTACCGGTATGTCCAACACTGTCAAAACAATCCGTTGATTTTATTCATCCAAGTTGTTCTTAATTCAGGTCCAATTGAACCATCAACTCTCCCTGGAGGCTTACCTCCCTTTATTTGATAAAAAGAGCCATAGATGAATAGTTGTTTTGGTCATAAACTTCCAATAAAGGGGTGAGAGTTACTTTGTAAAGCAGCAAGATTTTTTGATCTGTTTGCGAGGATTATAAACTACCAGATTTTTAGTCGGTATGAGTTACTTGCTATCCACCTTTCTAGTTCTTGTTGTCAATTAGTCATAAAATTGTTCAGATTGTGCAAACAATGGAAGTGGCCTCTTGTTGACACAAAAGTCAATCGGTCATACGGAGGTGGGTTCGCATCTTATTGAACCTTGGACATCGTTGCACGATACAAAATAAAGCTTATGAATAAATTCCTAAAAGCTTACATTGTAAAATTATCACTGTGATATTTTGCTTCTACATTTGGATCTATCTAAATTTACAGGTAGTTTACTGAATTAGGCAGGCAGTAGTTGCAAATATTGACAGATAATATGCTTTTTTTTTCTTGTTAAGGATTACCTACCCCTTGAAAATGTTGATGTTTACCTTTCATTCTATATGTATACATGCTCACATTCATATGCATAAAACTCGATCTTGAGGTCGAGATTTTGAAGAGATGAGTGGATTAGTCTTACTAAGCTGAATTGATGGTTATACTAGTTTTTGTTTTTGTCTGTATTGTAAAGAAAATGTTCCCATCCTTAAACCTGTGTGTAGAACGATGTTGTTCGATTGATGTCTTTACTCGCCACAAAGAACCTTTGGAAAAGATCCTCGTAGCCGAGACAACTCGTCGGGACCCTTAGAGGTTATTGTTGCTGTGGTAGTAATGTTGGGGAACACAATAGGTATGATGCTTTTTTGCAGTTGCTGTGATAAGTGTTGACTTCATAGGTACTCCTCCATCTTCGTCTTTCAGGGTTTTCTCATTTCCAAAGGGAAATTTGGTTTGTGATGTCTCTGCAAGACTTGTTTATATGTGGGCCGTGTGAATAGGAGGATCTCAAGGAGCAAAGAAGAAGATGTCCGTGCCTCGGATATTGTTCGATGGAACAGAGTAAGGTGGTGGGATGGTGTACGCTTTGTGTTGTGATGCAGTGAGTCAGAGTTTGAGATATTCGTGTACAGACCCCTAAATTTTGCCGCTCCGCATGCTTAGTTCTTAAGGCTTCTCGCTGTCGGAGTCTTCTTGCTTTCTCGATTCCATCATCTTCGCGCTCTATATGCTCAGAGAGAGAGAGAGAGAGAGAGAGAGAGAGAGAGAGAGATCACAAGGGGCTTTTGGTCCCGTTACATGACGGTCGATACACGGTCAACTAACCGCCGTTAAACTCTTTGCACAAAATGGCGATTTGGAAGTTATGGCAAGGATGTATTTGCAAATATGAAACAGAATAGGGGGTTATGTACGCATAAAGATGGGTTTGGAGGAGTATATATGCAATTTCGCTGGTGTGATAGGAAGGAAACTGAAGGCGCTAAAGGAAGAGGAGGAGGCACGTTCCACCAAACGATCTTCCCAGTCGCTCGCCCATCTCGCAACCCCCTCTGATTCGATTCGAGTCGCCGACGATCGCGTCTCCATGTGGGTGGTGATCCTCTGCGGACTGATCCTGTTCAAGATCCTCCGCCGAATCTTCCACCGCGCCGATGCCTTCCCGGACATCGACAGCTCCGATTCTGACGCTAGCTTCGCCGTCGCCGCCAGGTACGCCGGATCCCTTCCGTATCCTTCGAGACCCCGATCCCCCCCCGCGATCCAGGTCGCTCGAACCTGATCCTTTTTGCTCCCCGTGTCGTTGGCGTTGCAGATTGGAGAAGCTCTACGGCAGCAAGGCGTTCGTCGGGCTTCGGATTCCCGACGCCGATGCCGGTGTTCGACAGCACATAGATGTCGTTCTTGTTACGAAGAGGTCTGTTCTTGATCGATCGCTTTGCCTTGGAAAAACAATTCAAAACGAAATCTTCCTTTCTTTTATTGGTTATAAAATCTATTGACCACTATTTTTTTGTTTATAACAACAAGTTCTTGATTTTTTGGGTGCGCTATATAATCCACAGTTGGCGTTCTTAGCGTTCAAAGCAGTTGTTCTTCATGATGTCGTTTATGACATCCAATGGCCAATATATCTTTTATTAATCACAAGTTATTCTCACTAGAAATTCTGCTCTTTTTGCTTTTTTATAACCTCGAGAAATATTGGATTTGGATCCTTCTAACAAGGAGTGGAGAAATAATGGGAATCTATGATGTCAGGGAAGTCATGGTGGTGGCAGTTCGGAACTTCTCTGGTTTTGTGGAGATTGGTGACAATGAGAACTGGGTCTGTACCAGTGACAAGAAGCACAGGCCTCAGTCCCATCCGGATCCGGTAAGACATACTTTCTGGTGTCTTCACATTTCACTTGATCAAAACTCGAGGCTTTGTATGTTTCTTTACTATCTAAATTAGACTTTAGGTTTTTATAAACTTATGCTGAGTATAAACTGATCTGAACAAAATATAAGTACTTGTATTTGTATTTGAGAAGTTTATAATCTGTTTATTAAAATATAAACTAAAGAATAATCAGATATATCCATACCTATCCTTTTATGCTCTGTGATTTTGCTTTCTTCTTAAACATTGTTCTTGTACTAAAATTGTATCTTTCCAGTCATATGTGCTCGACAGCTAAATGGGCTTTCTTCTTGGTGCTAATTTGAAGACATTCTACACAGTTTATATTAAATTACATTTTTTTATTACACCTTTGTTCTCCCTTTTGATGGATCAGCAACTTTATTTTTCAGGTCCTTGAAGTTAGCAAACAAGTAGCAGTTATTGAATCATACTTGGAACAAAGAGGGGTCCCTTTGCCCAAGGGACATGTAATTGGCCAAGTCATACTTCCACATCCAAATTGCAGGTGTGGTTTAGAATGAGTCAGTTTATTGAGACAGCTTTACTACAATATGTGTATCATTCTTCAATTACAGTATGTAGCCTATATTGTGGATTTGTTTTTTATGGTTCTCTTACATGACCAAATTACTGATATATGTTGATTTTGAGTCACAATCTATCATAAACTACATATATACAACGCCTAGATTGGCTGGAGTCTGATTATCCAAGGTAAAACAATTTGCTGCTAAAAGCTGGTGGAATCAACTATTAGATTTCTGAAATTTGTTTTCTCCAATCAGTTAAAACTTGTTAGGAATATCTGAGTATATAATTCTGTGACATTCCACAGCATCTATTCTTTGGTCCCAATACTTGTGGAGATTTTTTTTTCATATGTTTTATGTAAGGTTTTGCAATCTTTGACATATGTTGCTTGCAATTTTTAGTCCTTGTCTAGAAAGAGAGTGAAGAAAGAATGTGATTCCAATGTTGCTGCTATTGGTATTGTGTTGAATTAGTACAACATGGACATATTGTATATGAAGGCATGGTAAGCTAATAGGATCATTGCTGGTCACTTAAATATTTCCTTTATTTTTTTAAATGTTTGTATTATGGAATTTGCTGCTTAAGTTTCGATGGGTTGCAATTGTGTATGCTTTTGTGTCTTAATAGTAAAAGTAAGATTGGAAACATGCATATTGAGTTTCTGTATGTCACATATTCTGCTTTATCTCATTTTATGCACAACTCATATCATTTTTTAGGCCCGCCTATTCTATTTCTTCCCAACTAGAGGTGGTTTCTTTTGATAAATGGAGAGAGCTCAAGCCAAAACCACGAAGTGGATTGTCCAATTGGATCAAGGGAGCAGTTGGCAAGAGCGACATGCAAGATGGATTCTGTGAGAAACTTCATTTTATCCTGAGTACATCACCAATGTGGGATCGGTACATTCTCGTAACATATTTTATTATTATTGTTATGTTTATTTGTGTGAAAGAAATGCTTCAATGCTAATTTTGTTTTATAGAGGCTTGTCAAAATGATGGTCATGCGTTATTTTCTAGAAGGTGTAAAAGAGAAAGTAGAAAAGTGGATTAATTGGGTTCAAGAGATTTAGCTCAAAGAAGATGCAATGAGCATAAGAGAAAGGTCTAGAAAATATGTGAAATCCGCCACAGTAATTGAACAATTAGTAATTCATTGAGTCAAACAGAAAGAGTTTGTATGGGTCAATGAGTTTTCCACTGGTTAAATATATAGTTGATGAGGTGGCTCTTGAACCTCCTTACTTCAATGGAAAAAAACCTCTGCAAGAAAAAGTAACTTCTTTTTTCAAATAGTGCAAAGTTGTTAAGAGGCCTAGGTTTTAGAATCAAAGAAAACCTGATGTGTTCCTCAAATCCACCTCAGTACAACTCAGTTTAAGGCATCTCTTGCACATTCTACATTATGTTACTATTTTACTTGTGTAGTTGATACAACATGTTACCTGTTTAAAAGACAAATTAAAGAGCACAATGTGGTGTAGGTTTTGGAATTCTAAATGCAATGTAAAACCCCAAAACTTGGACTTGTAGATCCAGACCTGTCGAAACTGCTGAAACTGATCCTCCTTTCTTGATAGAACCAAATAGAGATTGAAGTGTAGAACCTCGGTGAGGGAAAATAATATTTTCAATAAATAGTATTAAAACATACCTGGGATCTTATTGTTGAATCTCGGATTTTGATGATGAAACCAATTGATAAGTGTTTATGATTTAATTTGCGTTTTGAGTGACGCAGGATGCTTCGATCAGGATGAGACAATTAAAGCAGGAAGAATCATGTTGTGCCGGGGGAAAACATGTCAGAAGATTGGACGTCGAGCCGGTGGATCGGTCGACGTATCGACAGAAGGCTTCGGGCCATGGATTCGGGCATCGGGCCAAGAAGAGCGGATATTGCACCAAGGATATCGGAGTTGCGGAGTCAACTGGTCGATTGGGCAATAGGCCGCAAGAGAGGATGATGCGTCGAAGAATCGGACGAAGCGTAGAGGGACCAATGACATGCCGGACAACATGATTAATGCTTAGTATTAATTGTCTAGATCGAAGTATGTTTTTACATGTGCAAGATTAACTACGATAGCAAGGCATGAAGCAAAATGAAGTCCCGGAGTCAAGTACGCGACTTCGTTGGGAGTTCGAGAGTTCGTCAGAAGTCCAGACGTTCGTCGGAAGTTCTGGCGGAACCAGCCAAGAAGTCTCGGAGCTTGCCAGAGAAGCTCGTCGGAACTCGTCAAGAAGATCATCGTGAAGTCCAAGAGCTTGCCAGGAGTCTGCCGGAACATTGCCGAGAGATTGTCGGAAGATCGCTGGAAGCTCGCTGGAAGAAACCAAGACATAGGGACTTATTTAGATTAGCAAATGTCTTAGGAATCGTAGTTAGCACGTAATTGAGTTTAGATTTGGGCCAACCCAATTAGGGGCCAGCTAGGCCCATGTAAGGATCGTGTTGGGTCCAATGAGAGGCCCAAATAGTGCCCCAAGAAGTGGCACCGTCATGGCATAGTCTTCGAGACTGTGTCAGGCAGTGGTATAGCCAGTCTGGGCGGTGGTACCACCCAATATACAGTGTCAATGTCAGATTGACACTGGCGGTGGTACCGCCCGTGCCCGGGAAACCCGGGATGAGATGTTTTTAGGCTCTAAGTTTAAATCAACTTGAAGCCTATAAATACCCCTCTCATCCCTGGTTAAAAGAAACAAGCACAGAGAGTTTAAAAGTGAAGAAACGCTGCTGTAATATCTTTAGAAATTCCCTCCTCCACTTTAAGTTTAGAATTCTGTAAGAGAGGAGTGTGAGTGTTTGTAAGGGCTGTCTCTTGAACTCGGTAAAAGGAGAAGAGGGGTGTAAAAAGGTGGTTGGTCTTCGCCTATTGAAGGAAGACCTCTAGTGGACGTCGGTGATCTCGTCGGAGGAGGAAGCCGAAAGTGGATGTAGGTCGCGTTGACCGAACCACTCTAAAACTCGGTTTGCATTTACTTTGAGCAACTTTTTTTTATAGCAAACTGCCTCTCCTCCTTGCTGTGCTTTAACTACGTCTACATACGCTTTCACGTAAACATCTTCCGAGATCGGCTTTAATCGTACGAAGACTTTACAAAACCGGTTTTATCGAAACGAAACGTTTTTAAAGACGACGTGATTTTATCTGCTGCACTAATTCATCCCTCCTCTTAGTGCCGACCCCTGATCCTAACACTTATGACTCATTGTTATAGAAAAAAGTTGATAGCATAAGAGATTTTGAAAATAGTTCACGTCATGGGGCCTGGACCATTGACGCTAAAATGTATTATTTAATTGAAGAGCATCTGTTGATCAGGCAAGTTAATTGATCAAAGTTTCATATATTTGATCGTTTGCTTTATCCATAACATAATTGTCCTATTATGTACAATAATAAGCTTGATATAAAAGATTCTGTAATTTAATACTGCATTTTACAGTCTCTGTTGGCTTGACTATTTTTACTGTTTCCATTTTACAGATATGACTCTTCTAAATTGTTATTTAATGGTTCTTTCTAAGTGGCAAATGCTTTGTTTATCTCTTGCGATATGTATCAACATTTTGTTTGAAGGGAAAAACTCTTAACTGTTCTATACACAAAATATTTTGCAGCTTAGAACTTCGAGGTGACAGAAATATTCTTGGTGAGTTCGTCGAGTTTAAGGGAAACAAAAATGACATGCAAGCTTTGAGAAATGTGAAGAGGTCAAAAGTTGGTCGATTCATCGTCCAAAAGCCATCTATGTTGGGTTTAGGTAATTTCTAGATCATCTTATCTCTTTTTTTCATAAATGTTTCGATAACCAATATAATACATTTGGCAGTAATGATGACCGCATCTAGAAGTTAAATTGATTAACTGTCAGCAACAAGGGAATACAAATACATGCAGTATTATCCTGCCAGTGCACCCATGTCATGCTACAATGATAGTGAAACTAATGGAACTGACACATTTATAATCAGAAGATTAGGAACTTGCAAAAGTACACAATTATGTTTATCTTGCATAACTCAAGATATGCATGGTTCCCCGTGATGCTCCAAGGACACTCGTTTTTGCAGTATGTTTCCCTTAGCTTTAAGTCCTGATTGAATCCAAGATATGCATGGTTCCCCCGTGGTATCATAGCATACAAGATTCATTTGCATACCACCCATGACTCTGGATAAGCTTAAAAGATATTATCAACATGTTATATGCATCATGCATCCATTATCAGTGTCCTTGGAGCATCAGTCCCTGTTAAAATTCGTAGCGATGTATGCAGTCGGCAATATCATGATGTGAATTAAGACCATCTTTAAGTTTCACAGTTTGTTAACAGAGTATCATATACATAGAGCATGTTTTTAGTATCTTAACCGTTGGTGGCCTTAATCCTTGTTCGGACTATACGAAGGGGTTCCAGATAATTCACATATTCTTTGAATCAAAGCACGAGGTGTTGTACTTAATATTATCTTAAGTTACTATCACAATGCAAATGCAGGTAGATCGAGGCTCCAGGTTCTATATTTCCCCCGTGATTATCGAGGCGAAGGTGCTTCTTCTTTGGAATGCAAGGAAATTGCGGTCAAGCCAAGTACAGAGGTCATTTTCCAGCAGATGAACTCCAAGAAAGCCAAGAAATTTAAGCTTTCAAGCATTGTGTCTGTGACTCTTAGTGGGTAGGCAGCAGGCCTATGACATGCTTACTTGCGAGAACTCTGTTATTGGTCGTGTATATGTAACCAACATCTATAGTTGCTTCACCCTTGTTTTCAGAAACGAAGTACAATCTATATATCGACATGCAATCCTTTTCCATTTTCCTTTCTGATAGAACATTGTGATAAAATGAGAGAACGTTTTCCAGCAAGTTTGTTCTTAGTATGAGACTGCATTCAGATTCTCACAACTTTTTTGTTCGAATCATATCTTCTTGATTCTAAATACTATGTTACCAACAGCATCTGAAATATTTTTTTTAAGCTGGAAAATGGAGAAAATGGAAAAACCCGAAAAATCCACGCAGCTGAAATATTCTGAAAGGAAATACGACTCATGAAGGAAGATGGGAGGGTCTTCCACATCAGGATAATGTTGTCTATCAGAATTCAAATAATAAAATAAAAGGCATACTTACATTCATCTTATTGATTGATATATCATATTTACTTATCAAAAATTAAGAGTCATACTGAGAATTTGAAATGTCATCTAATATATATTTGTAATAGATAAAAGATTTTGACGATTTATCGTAACCGTATATCGAAAACTTGTGAGTTAATCCCAGCCGTGTTTGAGCACCTAAACATGAAAGTCCATTAGGTACACGACACATAAGCCTAAACTTGTACCATCTCTTCTATGGGTCCGACTCTTTTCTTTTGTCTGAAGCAGAGATCTGTCTTCTTCCTTATTTTTGAGTCCCGCTCGGTGATTGATCGGAAGGTAAATAATAGTACAGGATTACATCACCTCGGTTCGGATAAGATCAAATCAACATGGTTTCCAAGAGGACAAAAAATGTGCATATTGCCACTCATTCTTGCCATTGGTACGGAATAGGTACCCCAATTATGCAGGAGGCAAAGTGCATAATGCCACTGCCCCATTGTAGCCAACCTCATGTTACTTTTCCTCTGAGTTCGTCTCGTATCGTTCTATCAGCTCGATGGAAACCAATGATATTGAGATTTGATAATAAGAATCCATGCGATCAAAGGATCGAATCTCAAGGATGATGAATGAGGGTAAAGACATAATCCATAGATAGACGATCATGACGGAGGCGATGGTGGACGAAGAGAGGTAATCTTAGTTTTCAGAAACTAATGATGTTGAGATTTGATAATATGAATCAATCGAAAAGATCATATCTCAGGATGATGGATGACGGTAAAGATATAATCCATGGACAAAGACAAGGATAACGGAGACTCAACGATCATGACGGAGGTGATGGTTGACAAGAAGAGATAATCTCGTTTTTTAGAAACCAATCATGTTGAGATTTGATAATATGAATCCATCGATGAAAAGATCAAATCTCAGAATGATGGACAAGGGTAAAGATGTAATCCATGGACAGAGGTAAGGATAACGAAGCCTCAACGATTATGACGGAGACGATGGTCGACAAGGAGAGATAATCTCATTTTTAGAAACTAATGATGTTGAGATTTGATAATATGAATCCATCGATGAAAAGATCGAATCTCAAGATGATGGATGACGGTAAAGATGTAATCCATGGACAAAGGTAAGGATAACGGAGCCTCAACGATCATGACGGAGGTGATGGTTGACAAGAAGAGGTAATCTCGTTTTTTAGAAACCAATAATATTGAGATTTGATAATATGAATTCATCGATGAAAGGGTCGAATCTCAGGATGATGGATGAGGGTAAAGATGTAATCTCAACGATTATTACAACGGAGGTGATGGTCGATGAGAAAAGATAATCTCGTTTTTTAGAATGAAAAAAAAAATACTATACAAGAATAAACCAAAAATAAAACACTACCACATCAAAGTCATACTCGGAATCATTGCAAGCTCCGTCGTCGTCGTACGACCTAAAAATCTTATCAGCCCCTAAAGTTCAGATTTCTCGAGTCTATCCCTTTCGTCATTATCGCAGATCATAAGAAACAGCACCGCAAAGTTCCGGCGTCGCGAATATTCACAGGATGTCCATGTCGTCATCGCTTCCGAAATGGTTCCATTCGACATGCGGTTTACTCCGACGAGATGTATTTAGGTAATAAGTTCACTCGACTGCTCACCACAGAACTCGCCGATGAATCGGTCGTTTGATTCGTTATTCGATGCTTGTGAACCCCACGACAAGCCACCGGTTTAATTCGGAAAGAACACCGTGTGTTCAGCTACAGTCTCTTCTCCTTTCCATTGGGTCATCAGCCATATAGTGCTGCTGCTATTTGTCACCTCTTGACTAGATTTGACACAAGATTTTATTTATTTATTTATTATTATTTTAAATTATAAGTCCTCGAGAAAATTATTATTGTTTTTATAATATTTAACTTTTACTTCAAAAATCATTACATATATATGTGTATGTGATTTTCTCAGAAAATAATTCATATTTTGAATATTTTTCAATCAATATTTTCTATTTTATTTTTTAAAATAGTATCCCTTTTTTTAAAAAAAAGCCTAACTATTTTGGTATATTATAATATTTGATCACCATAATAAAAATACTATAAATGATTTATATAAATTTCTAACCTCAATCAAATTAATTAGAAACCTAAAATATAATATTATAATGGTCTATGAGCAATAATGATCAAAGAGATATGATATGATGTCACATATATTTTTTTAATAATGTTTATTTTTTTTAAATATATGAATAAAATATTATAAATATTGTTAAAAATCATGAATAAATCAAATAAAAAAGTATTATAATAAATAAATAAATAAATAAAGAATAAAAGCGACAAAAAAGTTTAAAGAATATTTTAAATATTTATTAATCAAGTCGCTCTATATACAAGCCAAACGGGGGAGAATGTAGAAGTGGGTCGGTGCATCAACACGTGGCAGCCACTCGCATGGATACTGCACGTGCGCTCTTGCGCACCGCAAACATGTCCTTCCTCGTCATCTAGAGCACGTGGCCCACACCGCGGACGTCGCTCGGTGGGCCCGTGTAATTCAGCCCACGTGACGCTCCCATTTGCCCGGCGACTTCGTTCCCGTGCGGTGGGCTGATGTGGCGTCCTGCAATGGGCGCAGACGAGATTCTCCTCGTGCGACCAAAGCTCTTTCTTTGAAGGGATGAGATGTTGGTGCGAGGCGTTTAATCGGCGTCGTGTTGTATTCAATCCTTCATCGTCGTATAAGATGAGTCGCAAAACAGCATTTTGTATGTATATTATGTGAAAAGATAATGGAGATCGCTAACGTCGCAATCTTCTCCCACGCGAGGAAGTCGCAAGCCATGACAGATGTCGGCTTCAACATCCAAGAAGTCCGCTTGGGAACGAAAGCCAAACCCCTCCTGTCTAATGGCAAAGGAACAAAATCAAACCCAATCATAATAATTGAAGCTTCATGTAGAGCGAGAAAGCAGGAAGCCTTACTGCATGTAGGCACTGGATCATGACCTACTCTACTTGGACGGGAACTCGCATGCTGTCCACCAGCCGTCGGGAGGAGAGAGAGAGAGAGAGAGAGAAGAGCATCTGGTACAGCCGTAGAATTGGCGTCATGTGGTGCTCATCGGTTGGACTGGAGTGGCGGAGTTAATCATAGGAGGACTGGCCCTGGGAACAGTCGACGCCCTATTCTCACTGGTGGCCCTGCGTGCGCTCCAAACAGATCGATCATGGGAACTTGGTCTACGAGGGAGAAGAAGACGAGGAAGAGAGGGGGCCACAGCATGGTTTAGGGTTGGTGGATTCTTGGAGTGTGCAACCAGCAAGGAACGACGGCTTTGCTTCTGCGGCCTGTTGTTTTCGTAGACGCCAATACCTCCGGGAGGGGAGGGCAGGGGATTCCTCGTGTTGGCGAGGTGCAATGCATGTGAGGGCTTCGCCTGTGCCCATCTTCGTTCTCTCTCTCTCTCTCTCTCTCTGCATGGCTTATTCATGGATGGCCACCCTATTGCCATGCTCCCGGTTTCTGCAAACAGCAGAGCAGCACCCAGTTTGCTACATGCTCCCAGTAAACCGTCCTGTTTACCATATACTTACCGTATTTAAAATCATTGGTACCTCTGGAATTTCCTCTTGATGCGATCTGTGTGTATGGCAGTCTCTCATCTTCGCCGTCCGAAATGAAATGTAACCGGTCTGGTGTCAACAACTTTAAGCCGTGACCTCAGGGTCAATATGACTGGGTTCGGGTCCGAATGAGCGAGGATATTCCTGGACTACCCTTGAGGGCGCTGAGGTACCCGACTACGTTGGTCCGGTCTTGACAGGACAGTCGTTTCTTCGGCGAGGGAACTCCTCGCTTGGGCGCGTGATGGGAGGCGCTTCTTTGTCCCTGCACACAGGTTGGGTCGGGAGAGCTCGACCCGACCCCTCCGACGATCAAGTTAGTCGATAATCTTAGGGTTTTTTTCTTCCCCCCTCTCGTTCCGAACGTGAAGGTTTTTATAAGGAAGGTCACCGTTATTGATGTGCCCGCTCGTAGGGAGCAGGACCGTACATGAGATGGCGTCTGACTCTGGCGTTGGGGTTGGGGTTGCATAGAGGATCGGACTCCTGCAAGATGACGACGTGTCTCGATCGATGTTTTGATTTATCTGGACTCGACGTTGTTAGGTCAAATCGAGGCAGACGACCCATGCGTCTCTTCGGTCCGCGTGACCCAGGAGACATCACCCGAGTGTAAGCAACGTCAATTTGAGTCCCATCATTATTATTACTCAAGCCCTCTTCCGATTATATTGCTAATGGAGACGATTGGTCTTCTCCTGCGAGCAATCCGATCGATCGATCGCGTTACGCTCCCCTTTTCCATCCGGTCCCGTCTTTTGAGACCTGCAGAATATGCCTTACTTGCGGTCACCTCAAAATTAACATTCTGTTAGTTTTATCCGATATTATATGATTTAAAATATATATAATTTAGTGATAAGATCCCCCATCAATCCGACACATCAATGGGTATCAACGCTGACTTAAATACTGTTTTTGAGTTTCCAATCAATTCAACCTAATTGTCAAGACGTTAATCGCTTGATCATTTGATAGACCTCCTAATGATTGAATAATGTCCAGTAATACATAATGATCCCATAAATTGAGAGCCACTAACTCTTATTAATTATGGAGAACTACTATTGAAGGTCGGACGCTAAATCCGAATTGAATTTGAACTCATGATATAATCATATTATGCGGTAAGAATTATATTATAATTTGTTGTTATAACAGTGTTAATTAATCGGGCGCACATCCTAATCCAAGAAGGTAAATAGGGTCCGTCCACGTGGCTCGCCGTGGTCCGTCCTTCGTGGTTACCCCCGTGCCCCACCGTCCGTGTCGTCTACCTCCACGTGTCCTCTTCCGTTGCTCCCGGCTAAAAGTGCGCCTAGCCGCTCCCCCTCTATCACGTGCGAGGCCGTCGTCGCACGGGACGGCGTCACGAAATCTAACGGCGTCGCTATGGCTAGCATAAATGGAGGCCCTCGGGACGGAGGAGAGCCATTCGGCGACGCGAGTAATCCTACTATCCGGTGAACCGTACTCGGAATAGGCGATGACATCGGCGATCCTAATCCGTACCACCTCGTTCCTCGGCTCGCCGAGGAGGTCTCTGGCCGACGGAATTCAAGACTCCGGCGCTGGGATCTCCTTCCTACGGCGGAGCAGGAGCGCCTCTCTCTCCCCGCGATCCATGTGCGCCGCCGCGCTTCACTCGGAAGCCGAGGAGGGGCGAGATGGGCACCTCCTCCGGCGAGTCAGATCGGAGGCCGATCTCGTCCGATCGAACCCCCTGACTCGGTCCCCGATCCCGGAAAGGGTGGTGGAGGAAGAGGAGGCGGATACGGAGGAGGTGAAGTGGTGCGATCTGGGAGTCCCGGTGCCGGGGAGACCGCCGGCGGCGTTGGTGGAGCAGGTGGAATACTCCGGAGGGGGGATCGGCAAGGGAAAGCAGGTCGGCGGGGGGAGAGGCGGCGGCGATGAGAATGACAACAGAAAGATCGCGGACTACTACCAGCAGATGCTGCGGACCGATCCTTCGAACCCGCTGCTCTTGAGGAACTACGGACGATTCTTGCATGAGGTGAGTGAGAAATGAGAATGAAACCAACTTGCTTACCTTGACGCCATTTCCCCCATGGCGAATCTTGCACGGAGAGTAAGCATTCGGCGATTCCTCTGTTCTTTCCTCTGCGAAGGTGGAAGGAGATGCAAAAGGTGCTGAAGAGTGCTACGGGCGGGCGATCCTGGCGAGCCCCGGCGACGGCGAGGTGCTGTCGCTCTACGGGACGCTGGTGTGGGAGACCCAGAGAGACGAGGAGAGGGCCGAAGTCTACTTCGAGCGCGCCGTGGAAGCCTCCCCCGATGACTGGTATGCTCCCTCCGCCCCGGCCCATGATCCTCCCCCCTCCCCCCCAAAGGGGACGAAAAAGGAGGGCTTGATCTGATGATGAGCGCGTATGTGTTTGCAGCTACGTGCTGGGGTCTTACGCGCATTTCCTGTGGGACGCCGAGGAGGAAGAGGAGGGGAGAAAGGAGGCGTCGTCACCGTTGGTGGAGGCGTTTTGATGCGTGCGACTTGATCTGACCGAAGGATGTGCATAACTAATAATAATATAAATAAGATGATGTTATTGTGAGTAATGAGACTAGAAAGAATAAGAAGACCGACAGCAATGACATGCTATCGTGGTTGCTGCTGTGTTGTCTTCTCTCTTCTTTCGGCTTCTGTTGTAAGCTTCTGCGGGGGATTGTGAAGTTGTAAACAGAGAAGTAGAGAGTTTAATGTCTGAGCATAATCTTCTGCTTGGAATTCCTTGTAAGAGTATCTTCTTTCATTGTACTTTTGTTGATGATCGATCGATCGACCGATACCAACTCTTTAAGTATTTTTATTTGATCTTTTGATTACTCGGGAAGTAACTCGATCGTAAAGAAGACTTGAACAGCACAACATGAATGAATTCGCTATTCCTGACTTCTTACATGTGAAGTTGAGAGAGAGAGAGAGAGAGAACAAATTGCAGAAGAAGACTTGTTTGTAGCACATGTGACCAACCATTTATATAAGAAGAGTAGTGAATACCTATAGCCTTGGCTTTCATATATGCATAAAGACTGATTGAAGGTTGAGAAGAGAAATGTTTATGGATCGAAAACTCATCCTTCGTGGCAATTCAAAAGGAGCACTAAATTTCTCACTCGACTTTTCTCGTGACTCTGCAAGCTTTTAAAGGTCAACCACACACGTGAATTATCGAGTCTTAAGTCATCGTCTAAGTTAGCACAACTACCTGATAACACGAGTTGTTGATGCAGCAGACTCACCGGAAGGTTCGAAGGAAGCATATCAATCTTGCAAGGACCGCATAGGAGAAGAAGAAGAAGAACACGGAGAAGTCTAAAGATGACACCAAATTAAGCCTGCTCATGAAAAATCAAATCCACTGAAATATAAGAGTTACATTGAACTGAATGTATTTACATATCTTGTATCTGCTTCTTCAGATGTCAGCCACCTATTACAACAGAGGATTTGGTCAACGATGTAGAATACCTGCCATTTTTTCGGAAACTTTAGGTCAGTTTGGTCGGTCCAGCAACAACGTGTGTGGCAAGAGTAGGAAGAATGAATCAGCTGTAGCAGAAGCGATGAGCACGAGTAACTCCATAACCATTGTCAGCTTTAAGTTCTTTCCTAAGCATTCTCTACGGTATGATTTTTGCTTATCAGTGTGGGTGTCACTGAAACAATCCCTATAAGGAACAGTGTCGCTATTGCTTGGAAATCATAAAGGTCGGCCACGGATCTCAACTCCCCAAGAGCAATTCCAGCCTGATTTATACAAGAGAAGATCAATGGTGACAAGAAGATCCCAAGAGGAGGATTCCATACCCATTAAAGTGATGGAAGGTAAAACCTCTCATAAAATCGTCTACTTCAGAATGCTAGTTAAGAGGTAAGGAAGAACGATACCCTGACTGTCACGTAAGCAGCTGGGATGAGTCCAATGAAAGTTGCCATGAAGAATATGCGGTATGGCACATCCACTATGGGTGAAGCAACATTGATGAAAGTGTTTGGCAGTGTTGGGGTGACTCTGAGAAAGAGCATGTAGTTCAACAGCTTCTCTCTTCTTTGGGCAACCTGTAACAAATGTGATCGCTGCGTTAGCAGACTGCAAGCTTGGGCATAAAGAAACACGGTCAAGATGCAAGAAAAAATAGAGCTTCGAAAACTGGCATTGAATTCAACTGATTTCATTTTGTTGCAATGGCACAATTGTGGTTAAATACATATAGATTTCCTGAACAATCAGGAAGAAGGCTTGAAAATATATGATAAAGATTCCCAAAAAGTGTAGTTAAAATATTAGCAAAAAGTTTGGTTCTTGAATTGGCTACAAATTCAAAGATGTTCCTGAAAACTTATGTTGAACAAAAGGCCGGCCACTTGCCTGTTCTTGGAAGTAACTCAGCTTGTCTGGCCACAAGGAGAAGACCAGGGGCTTCCCTATCAAATATGACAGAAAATAACATGAAGAGGCACCGGCTGTAGCGGCAAAAACAACTAAAGCTACACCTTGCAAAACTCCAAACAGGGATCCAGCAAGGAGGGACATAAAAATGGTCCCTGGAATCATGAAAGTCTGCATAAAGATGTAGACGGTACAGTAGCCAACCAAAACCTGTATGGTGTAGTCAGTTGTGTAGCTCTCAAGATTATCCCTGTAAAAAAGACGGTTTCAAGTAATAGACTCAGAAGGTCTTTTACCAAATGGCATTAGGAGATATTATGAAATTATTTGCACACGAATAAAGTGACAAAAATTAGTCACTCCAAAAATACACACCTAAACCAAAAGATGCTCACAAGTCGTATTTACGAAGTTAAGAAACTTGAAAGTTCAATAACTAAAGTGAATTACAATTATTGAAGGGATCAGCAACAATTCATGATCGATACTAACCGTAAAGAGATAAATTGAAAGCTAGAGCTCAGAAGTAACTGGATATGAAATGTTTAACCAAATGTGATAAAAAAAATGAACAAAAAGGACATGTAATTGAGTATGCTAAGAGATGACATTAATTTCCCAGAGTACTAACACAGAAGGAAGTTCATGCATCTGAGAAATTAATAAATTCATCGCAGCAGCTGTAAATTTACATGCTTGAAAATGACAGGAAGAGGATATACATTTTAAAGGTAAAAAAAATTCTCCATTCCAACTTAACATCAGACTTGGAATCCAACAAGAATACGTGGCACACATCAAGAACCACCCTGCTCTAGCTTCATACCCCTCTCCCACCGTGAATGGGGATGCATCCTCTGTGAATCGAGTCGGGTGCCAAGCTATTTCTTGTGATCTTTCAAAAAATCATGATCCTAAGCAAGCATCTAAGATCTTAATCAATCGGCGGATGAGGACGATTTATCGTCCTAATAGTAAGAGCATTTCGCTGTCCCTCACGTCCAGAAGCCTCGATTGGATGTTAGACAAAATTATTTGGCCGTCAATCTTGTCAACTGAAGTGTAAGTAAGACCCAAAGGCCATGCCTTGAACAAAAATATCTTTACCTTTACAAGAAAGGAATGCCGAGACAAAAGAAAGGAATGAGTAGGACAAAAGAAAGAAACTGCCTACTTTTTAGATCAAAAGGAAAACTAGACAGTGAACACAGCTCGACAAGACAAAGAGATCGAGGCAACTGAGTGACTGTAGAATTAAGATCCATGTTTCTTATCTTTCAAAGCTATCCAAACCAATAACTGGATTCGTACCTCTTAATTTATGCAATACACAACAGAAAAAAACAATCACAGATGAGAAGTCTGAGCATTGAATAGACAGAGATCATAAGGCTATTTGAGGCCAAAACGAATCAATGGTGTTGATTTCAAGAAATTCTTGCATATGAAAAGCCCCCAAAAATTGTATTTTGCCATCCCTATTCACCAGAATGAGTATCAACACAGAAAATCCCAAAAATTCCTCATATTACCAAACAGTTCATAAGATCACTGTTTGATACCCGAAGCAAATCCTAACAACAACCCAGGAACAGAATGCAGGACGACAGATTCAAGCACCACCCCCTAATTCATTGTTTCAAGAACATTCATCACAGAGAGATATACGGAACTTCCAACATCAAAAGCAACAGAGAAGGGGGCAGAGACTACCTCAAGTCCTGGATGTCCTCGAGCGTGCGAGGCAATTTGAGGAAGCTGTAGTCGGAGGCAGGCATCGAAAGGCACACGGCCACCAAGCCCATCCCGAAGCTCGCCACCACCCCAGCGGCCGCAGCCACCTCCCATCTCGACAGCGTCAACTTGGTGTCCCTCCCCATCTTCCTCTCCTATGAACGAAACAGCGTGAACGTGGATGCCCGAGAGGGGAATTGATGGGGGAGAACAGGGTGTGAAGGGGGAGAGAGAGAGAGAGAGAGAGAGAGGCAGAAAGAGGCTCAGATCAGATCGAAGAAACCCTAAATGCCCTCTCTTCCTTCTCTCCTTTCTTCTCGGCCGCCCCCGTCGTCTTCCCCTGCGTTATGAATCCTTTTAACGGCACGCAGGTGGCTCGTTGGAAGACGCGAGGAAGACTCACCTGTGCCGCAGGAACACCACATCACATGATCGAACCACGACGCGGTTATCTGAGGTGGGGCCCAACGAGCATTCACAAGGGTTACGTGTCGATTATTTACTTGGAGAGCGGGCCTCCTTATGCGGTGGTGGCTTGTACGCCATCCCAAGTATTGTATTATTTTGTCTTTTGTGAAGGAGACAAAGAAATTAAAGTTTTTTTTTCTTTTTTTTTTTGGGGTTAACAAAATGTATGTATTTGTTTATAATTGTTATCGTATCATTTTGACTAAATAAAACTGCTATCTATCTGATATATTTGTTCTTTCCAAATTACGAACTTTGATTTTGGTGAATTATTGTTTCCTAATGAATCCATGTCGATAGATTTCGTCGCGATTGGCAGCACGAGAATCTAAATCCAATATACAACATAGGTACTAGGTAAAAATGATGATATGACACGCCATGACGTCAGTCACGCCTGGACGACACACTGCTCGAGGAGGTAGGTATTAACGTTGACTTGATGTGCGCCAACGTCATCTGCTCCCAATCAACGACTCCATTGTCTGACCCCGCGCTCTCGGCCGAGGCAGTGGAGGACGTCGACCGAGGCTCGCCCATACCCTGCGGCAGTTCAGTTCTCCACGCAACCCCAGTGACAATGTCAAATGCTATCAGAGGTACGGTCCTGCTCTTGCAGGCAGCCACATCAGGTAACATCAAACTCATCTATAAATACCCCAGAGTTCTAAACGAACGAGGAGGGACGGACGAACACAGACACAACATACACAGAGGTACTTCCTCTTCCAAAACCCCCTCCACATCGCTGACTTGATCGTTGGAGGGGTCGGGCCGAGCTCCCGGCCCGACCTGTGTGCAGGTGTGAGAACGGAGTCGCCTCTTCCCGACGCTGCGGCGAAACTTCCCCCCGACGCCACGTCCCGACCGGACCACCGTGATCGGCCGCCGGGGGACCCCGAGGGACGCTGCCCAAGATTCCCGACATCCGGACCCCCGAACCGAACCGCGTCGGCCCCGAGACCATGGCTAAAACAGTTGCTCCCCGCAATAGGTACAATAAAGAATCCAAATCTATATTGATCGACAGAGAATTGAGGAGGAATGAATGATCCACTTGCTGCTCCGACAATATCTGACTGTGTTCCGCTTGCCACTCCATTGTGCAGGCCCAGGAGTGGTGTTAGGTGGCCCGTTGCCATCAAGCAGGCCACCTCCTTGTTTGCTGAATTGCCGCAATACGTCTTCCACAATGGTAAAGC